ATAGATAGAGAGAGATAGATAGAGAGATAGAGAGATAGATAGAGAGATAGATAGAGAGAGGGAGAGAGATAGATAGAGAGATAGATCGATAGATCAATAGATCGATAGATCGATACATAGATAGGTAGGTTAGGTAGGTAGATAAGATAAGATAAGATATGACTAGATTAGATTAGATAGATAGCTAGATAGATAGATAGATAGATAGACAGAGTGATAGATAGATAGATAGATTAGATTAGATTAGATAAGATAAGATAAGATAAGATTGGATGGATGGATGGATAGATAGGTAGATAGATAGATAGATGGAAAGATAGATATAGACAGAGTGATAGATAGATAGGCAGAAGGAAAGATAGATAGAAGGAGAGATAGATAGATGGATGGATAGATAGATAGATAGATAGACAGAGTGATAGATAGATAGATAGACAGACAGACAGACAGATAGATAGATAGATAGACAGACAGATAGATAGATAGATGGAAAGATAGATAGATAGATAGATAGACAGATAGATAGATAGATAGATAGACAGAGTGATAGATAGATAGATAGATAGGTAGATAGATAGATAGATAGATAGCTAGCTAGAAAGCTAGATAGAGAGAGAGATAGATAGATAGATAGACAGACAGACAGATAGATAGATAGGTAGATAGATAGATAGACAGAGTGATAGATAGATAGATAGATAGTTAGATAGATAGATAGATAGGTAGATAGATAGACAGACAGACAGATAGGTAGGTAGGTAGGTAGCTAGATAGTCAGAGAAAGAGAAAGAAAGGGAGAGAAAGAGAGGAGACCTCAAGCACCTGTCGGTCCATCAGTGTCTTCGCTCTGCCATCCGTGACTCATAGCAACCAACCTCTCATAGATTTCCTATTTTTGAAACTTCCGCCACCGCCTTGTGCGGTACTACCCGAAGGAAGTTTAGAAGTCAAACGTCCGACAAAATGGACAGATGAAAAGCAGAGACGGGAAGAGTCAGAGAAGAAAAGAGAAGAAGAAAGAAGATCAAAAAAGAGAAAGTCTCAGAAGAAAGAAGATCCAAGTGCGCGAAAAGGTAGGAAAGTCGCGAAACGCTGTGTTTTTCGAATGATTTGTGGCTCCGGAGGGTCGAAAAGTAGGCTCGCTAAAGTGGCGGGTGCGGAGCCAGCTGGCCAGATGAGAGATGAAAAATTGCACGCCATTGTGGCGCGAAGCACATTTCCAAGTCAAAATGTACAAAGCACACCAAGTTCGGACCACTTTTGGAAATTGCGATGTCGAAAAAGTGCACGCTGTTGGGGCGGGAAGCAGATTCCGAAGTAAAAATGTTAAAAACGCCACATGTTCGCCACTTTTGGACACTCGGACGTCGTTTCGTGTGGCAGGCGCAAGGGATTGTGGACCTTGTCAAAAGTCAGCAAAACGCGAGAGTTTTGTGGCATTTCCAAAAACGATGGCAGGCGTGGGACATTTGAAGAGCATCTGCAAAGATGCATTTTCCCTGGCAGCAGTACAAGAGACATGTTCATCAGAGCTGTTAGGAGGCCCGGGCGCTGATTTCCTCAGAGGGGTTGCATTTTGGAGCCTCAGATTTTCAGGTTTGCTGAGATGATTTTGCGTGACAGGTGCAGCACTTTGTACGACTGGCATCACTTTTTCGTGGCAGGCGCAGTAGTTTAGACGGATGGACTGGAAAAATCGCAAAACGCAATGGAACGAGGCCGTCAGCTCTGCACTCAACTTTCCATTTTTGAAAGACGTCTCGCAGAATGGCTTCATTCTTTATGTTGTCAACTTTAAAAGAAAGGAAGTCTCGCAGACTTGCTTCGTTTTTGATGTTGTCAAGTGCAAAAATTGAGGAAGTCTCGCAGAATACCTTCGTTTTCAAGCTTGCAGATAGATAGAGAGATAGATCGATGGATAGATT